ATGTATAGGTCGCACACATGGTTTGCCATTTTGTTGTCCAAGTGGGGAATTTGTGGTTGACCCACAGATAGGGTCGCACCCTAAGTTTGGAGAGTTACACGCCCCCCGCACCACCCCCCCTCACATTTTAATGTAACCAATACTTCCAGAATAGACGTTACCAATGTATTTCCCTAACAACCGAACAGTTAAAGAGCCCTCGTTATTAACAACGGGATTTTTCAATTAACATTTTTTTTTTAAATCTTAGGATACATTGCAGCTTGGTGGTTATTTTTATGTTGTATTTATTTTACTGTTGCTTCTTGCCGACACGTTCATGGTTTTGGAGCGTCTTTTTTTCAGGTTTTTCCATACTTTGTTTCACGTATTTCCTTTCACGTAACGTAATTGCAATCTCTCCCTCCCTCCCCCTCCCCCCCCCAAAAAAAAAAGCAACAACAACCATACCTTATTTTTATGTTTTATTTATTTTTCTGTTGCTTCTTGCCGACACGTTCATGGTTTTGGGGCGTCTTTTTTTCAGGTTTTTCCATACTTTGTTTCACGTATTTCCTTTCACGTAACGTAATTGCAATCTCTCCCTCCCTCCCCCTCCCCCCCCCAAAAAAAAAAGCAACAACAACCATACCTTATTAACTCTGGCATTGGCTCTGCTCGAGCGCAAGCAATTTCATAGGAGAAAACAATTCTACGACTCTTCGTATAAAGGACTGCTTCACTGTTAAAAAGAATAAGTAAAGTTGATTTCGACTTAATCGGTCACACCCCCTGACAAGGCCACATTTATGCGAGTATATACGGTAAACCAAAGCAATAATAAAAATGCCGTTTGACATTGCGCGTTGAAACGCCTCAAAGGAAAATGGGCAAATGCCTCAAACCTAAAACTTAAGATACGAACTCTTTCAGAATGACACAAGTGGGGTTCCTTCCAGGCCGGGGAGCCCTGCCCTGCCCCCCCCCGGCCCCCCAGGAAAGCCAAATGTGTACAATATAAAAATTAAATATGTTATATTACTTACGACTAAATTGACTTTTTAGAACAGTTTTTAAAAAGGTTAGTATCTGGTGCCTTTAACCGATTACTACCAGTGGAATCTATGAAATATCGCTATGCTCGATATATTTGATGATCTGTATATTTAAGGCTAATCTTGCCGCTCCAAATTATTTAACTCGATGTCTTATTTCCGTTAGTTCGCAAACATATCGGTATATTTATTCTTTTGTTTGTTTTTTTTTTTTGTTTTTTGGGTTGCAATTTCACAAGTTTACAGATTTTATTAACACTGTGTTTAATTTCCTTTTCATCAATATAAAGCTCGACAATTTTTAATAATAGTCCATGCAGCATGGACCATGCTAAATTATATCAAAGAAGCTCAATCTATTTTCAAATTATATTTCATGATAAAAGCATGACTTTTAAAGTGGGGATACGTATTAGGTATAACTTGTAGTTTGCATTAGCTTTAAAAATATTTTTATTTGCATAACTGTAAATGTAATCGATGCCATGGGTGTTGAGTTATAGAAAATGAAAACTGTTTAAAAAAATAGCTTTTTTAAAAAAAAAAATTAAGAATTTAACGGCGCATACAAAAAGTGCAAATTTCATCAGTTATCATACCGAAAACGTTTGTGTTTTCTTTTAATGTGCCTCTTTTGAAAGTTTCCAGAATAACACAGGTGTAAGACATACGTGGCCTATATTTATTATGCCCCGCCTATTTGCATGGATTTTTAAAAAAAAATATTTTAATATTTCAGAGTCCATCCCAAGGATAAAAAAAAAAAGTTATGGCGTTCATATACAATTTATAACAATGTCCAGTTTTCCAAACCCATCAAAATGTGCACAGACCTTTCTAAGTAACAGGTTTTTATTTTTATTTTGACTATAGGAAATATTTAGAAAAGGTTAGTCTAATTATTATAAGTAAGTTTTTTTTCTTCCCATTTGCATTCAGCATATCAAATGTTTGAAGAGCTTTTTTAGTTATGGAACCCTTTTTTAATTTTTAGTTATTTGTGTGTGTGTGTGTGTTGAAAGTTCATTTATTAATTAAGTAGCTATCCCCCACCCGGCCCCCTTTTTTTCCTTGACCAAATAATGTAAATAAAAATAAAAGCCAATATTACAATTTTAGTAATATACTTGTTGCTTTTTTTTTTTTGGTTCTTTTTTTTTTTGCATTACACAAGCAGGGGAACCTTGTTTCCGGTCCCCCCCCATGCATTGAAAGAGGATTATCAAGAAAGAATCCTCATCACATATTATTTAACTTCTAAAAATATCCATTTTTTTTTTTTTTTTTTTTTTTTTTTTTTATTTTTTTTTTTTTTGTTTTTTTTTTTTTTTTTTTTTTTTTTTTTTTTTTTTTAAATTTTTTTTTTTTTTTTTTTTTTTTTGTATTTTTTTTTTTTTTTTTTTTTTTTTGGTTCTTTTTTTTTTTGCATTACACAAGCAGGTGAACCTTGTTTCCGGTCCCCCCCCATGCATTGAAAGAGGATTATCAAGAAAGAATCCTCATCACATATTATTTAAACTCTAAAAATATCCGAGGCACCCTGCATCGTAAGCGTTGCTGGGCACGCACACAACGACGGCTCTAAAGATTAAGCATGTCACCTATATTTTCTAACTTAGGATCTCTTCAGTTGCTCTCCAATTAAGTGTAGAATGCTGCTAAACTAAATTCAGCAATGTGATAAAATGCATTCTAATATTTTTTTATTTAACAAAATGTTTTGGGGGACTAAAGAGAATTAAAGGGCGAGAATAAACTAAGGAAAAAGCGTACCTTCAAGGGTAACACCACTAGAATGAATATAGTTTACGTCCCACTGGTACGGAACTTAAGATGTCTTTGATCATTATTACGGCTAATTTTGGCACTTCCCACCCGAAAGTTTGAAATACAACCTCAAAATTGTCTGGAAGAAACAATAAATTCAAGTAAGCACCAAATTGCAACAAAGCATTTTGAGTTCCCCCGACTGTCTTTAGCACCCTAAATTTCTGCACCCCCTTCACTCACGCTGATCAATGGTACAGTATGGGGTTGATAATAAGGGTATGCCAAATGATTACCCTGGGGCACGCCACAATCGGATTGAATTCAGTTTATGTATGACACTGGGTGCCATAATGCCTCCCACATAACCTTAAAAATGTCCTACCCGTTCGAAAAGTATAATATAAACCTTGAATTTAAAATAATTTAAAAAATTGCACCTCATAATTTTGAAATAATAAAATATATGACACCCCCCCCCCCCCCCCCCCCCCCACACCCCCTTTTCAACCATTAAATACCATCAAAGTCCATTTTCCCCCTCCCACGCTAGTCTGGCACCGCGGGACATATGCCCATCTGCCAACCCTTAGCTACGCCGGTTGCCACTGGCAAATGGCATAACCCCTTTCTCAGCGGGAAAATGTCTGAAAAAAAAACTCTGGACACAAGCGATAATGCAGGTTTATACACATCTGACCACATCACCCCAGTTCTTAAAGATCTCCACTGGCTTCCTGTGAGTGAGCGCATTGAGCACACAATTCTATCCCTGGCATTCAGCTTTCTGAAAGGCTCTGCACCTGAATATCTTAAAGAACTGATAACCATACATGTATCTTTAAAGAGACTGCGCTCTTCATCACAGGCCCTAATGACAGTTCCCAGTGTTGATGGACACAGATAGAAGTCATGCGGAATGCGCTCTTTTGAAGCTATTAGCGCCAAAAATTAAACAACAGCTTGCCTCAATCTTGGAGGAAAAATTGAAAATGATTTGTTTAAAAATCATTTAAGAGATATTTAAAGACATTTTTTTTCTTTAAATAGGGGTTATGAAATCAGCTGGCTGTGAGCATTCTAGAATAGCATAGACACAAGCGCTATATAAGTCATCAATCATCAAAGGGTCAACTGCCAGAGCCACCCTGGGCGAGATCATGGCATCCTGGACGGCGGTTTATAACAGAAAATATAATTTAATTGAGAGAATGATTCAGGAATTCCCTGAAGTAAATAATTATTAATACCTCTTATGGACCGGTAGCGTTTCATTCATTTGATCTGGAAAAATCAATTCGGCGCAATTTCACACATTAAAAAAAAAAATTCGTAAATTCAACTGACATTTTACTTACAAGTATTTATTTTATTAATAAAGTATATGTCACTTTACCTTTAGATATTTAAGATAAACATTTTTTTAATACCTGGACTGCCTTATGAACCATTCCATTATGAACCAATAGCATGTATTTTTGCCCCCACGGCGATGATAGCATTTTGTTTTTAAAAAGAGAGTAGATTAAAAAGATAAGCTAAGCTTAAAAATAGATTCATTTTTTTTTTTTAAATCATCGAGCTAGTCATTGAGCTACACGAAGTATTTTACACATTATGTGTAGACCGGTCATTGTAGTTTTAACGTATCTAAAATGTAAAGACAAAATCCATATAGTCACAATAAAAACATTCACATATACAGTACTCAGCCCAAATATTATAGCATACGCAATGATTGACCAGCTTGAAAGAGTGGCCAATAATTGTCACGGTCACCTGGTAACGAAAATTTTCAATCACGATGCCAGTAGCAAATGGGAGGCTGCGGATGTCATTTCCCCCCCTTTAAATTGAGAGACATAATTTTCGGCTAACTGTAGATTTCAATTATCGTTAAACTGGGGTGTGTGGTTCAGCAAAAATCTTGACCAACCCAATCAGACACTAAGCCTATGCCACGTAACTGAGGTATACTTGACCATGAGATAGACTGCTAGTCTTTGTTTGAACCTGTTGTTTTTTTTTTACAGTCATAATTATACGTAGGTAATATTTCTTCATCCAATACCTCACCTTACTGCACAAGAGCTTTAAATATTTTCATTTGGAATAGGCAGTGGGATAATTACATGTCCTATGTCGAGAGGTATTGTAGTAAAAGACTATTAAAAATAGAAGATACTTTGTGTTGTTTTCGTCTGTATGACCGACCGATAACTGAAAGTAGGCCACCGTTCATTGGATGCAGAGTCATGCACTTTGAGTTTAAGAAGTGGTGCAGATTTAAAGATTCATGAACTTATCCTAAGTATTAAACGTAAAAATTAATACACATAAAAATGTTCAACTTACGTAAGTGTTTAATGATTGTTTGGGTAAATACTATTCATGGACTTGTTTCATTTATTTTAAAGCATATTTTTAATAGGGCCTACGATTACAAAGACTCGGTTCGATCGTTCAGAGATGTATTGAACGAACGTTCTCTTAGATGTTTCCCATATTATTCCTACATACGGTGACCTGCTAACAGAGTATTTTTTATTTACATTTTTTAAAAACTGCATTTTCTTAAAAATATGTATTGTAAAATCTGAGACCTTTAAACACCTTATTACTTTCAAGAAATTTTTAAAAAAAAATATTTTTTTTTTGTAAAGTGTGGGGGTGGGGATTGAAGGAACAAAGAAGTTGAAAACAAAGATATCTACCATCATTAAGACGAGTCTTAATTGAATATCAGCTAAGTCCTCACCGGTTCCGAAATCTTGATAAAGTGCACATTGGCATTAATTTGACTAATATAGTTTTAATGTTATTTATGTTTATTCAAAATAAGAAGTATTTTATGCATGATATCTTGTTCAATTTAAACACTTCCTTTTTTAAAAAAATAAAGCAGCAGCATAAGTTGTTTTCAAATTTTGAAATATAAATATGATAGTCCATTTATTTCTGACAGTTTTTCATAACAGATATTTAGAGAATAGCTTACATAAGTAAAAGGGACTTCGCTTGACTTACGGAGGTCCCCAAAAATTTTAAGATGTTGTGTCCCCCCGCATTCAATATTGATAATTAAAATTTTTCCCGATTATATATTTGGGCCCCTTAAATATCCGAGGCCAACGCGACGAATATGATAATCAGACTTGATAACTGGATTGCGTTTGCAGCAAAAATAACCTCAATGCATTTTTTTTTTAAATGATTGATGCATACATTCAATAGATCCCCTTCCCAATTTAAGAATTGCTATTTCAATGGTTGGGTTTGTGGACGAAAAAATATAAGTATTAATAATATATTCTTTTTTTTTTAAATCATTTTTCAAAACTACATTTTCCCCACTTATTCTTAAAACTTTTTGAAACAACATTAACAATTCAACTTAATTTTTAGTGTTTTAAATATATTCAATGAATATTTAAAAAGAAAAGAATCTATGTTTCTTTGGGAATTTAATGGCAGTGAATAAAATTGATTTTGTCATGTTGATAACAATATTTAAAATTAATTGTTAACTTGTTTATTTCAGTCCTGTTCATATCAACACTCATATTCAACTTAAGGGGAGGTAAGTATTTCCTGAAATTTTACCAGTATATTATCAGTTATTACCAATGACACAAAATACATAAATAAATCTTAATTTTTAACAAAAATATAACAATTGTAAGACCAGGGATCCTCAATAAAATTGCAAAGTTTCTTTTAACTCAAAGAGAGCAAATATTTGGCACACCTGTAAGTAGAACAACACATATAGAAGAAAGACTATGACTAATTTGATGTTTTAAAATGGTGGATTAGAAATCTAGAAATTTGATGAAGTGGTTTAGCTATTGCAAAACGTGTTTTTTTGGATACTTAATTATTTTTATATACGTAATAATCATATATAAATTATAAATTAATTTTGAGATGCACACTTCGTTATTTACTGGATTGGTTTTAAACGTGAGTTGGCCAAAGACAGTCTGTTGAATTAGCGTGAAGCATGTTAGTGGGAAGACTGCGATCACGTGAGTTGGCCAAAGACAGTCTGTTGAATTAGCGTGAAGCATGTTAGTGGGAAGACTGCGATCACGTGAGTTGGCCAAAGACAGTCTGTTGAATTAGCGTGAAGCATGTTAGTGGGAAGACTGCGATCACGTGAGTTGGCCAAAGACAGTCTGTTGAATTAGCGTGAAGCATGTTAGTGGGAAGACTGCGATCACGTGAGTTGGCCAAAGACAGTCTGTTGAATTAGCGTGAAGCATGTTAGTGGGAAGACTGCGATCACGTGAGTTGGCCAAAGACAGTCTGTTGAATTAGCGTGAAGCATGTTAGTGGGAAGACTGCGATCACGTGAGTTGGCCAAAGACAGTCTGTTGAATTAGCGTGAAGCATGTTAGTGGGAAGACTGCGATCACGTGAGTTGGCCAAAGACAGTCTGTTGAATTAGCGTGAAGCATGTTAGTGGGAAGACTGCGATCACGTGAGTTGGCCAAAGACAGTCTGTTGAATTAGCGTGAAGCATGTTAGTGGGAAGACTGCGATCACGTGAGTTGGCCAAAGACAGTCTGTTGAATTAGCGTGAAGCATGTTAGTGGGAAGACTGCGATCACGTGAGTTGGCCAAAGACAGTCTGTTGAATTAGCGTGAAGCATGTTAGTGGGAAGACTGCGATCACGTGAGTTGGCCAAAGACAGTCTGTTGAATTAGCGTGAAGCATGTTAGTGGGAAGACTGCGATCACGTGAGTTGGCCAAAGACAGTCTGTTGAATTAGCGTGAAGCATGTTAGTGGGAAGACTGCGATCACGTGAGTTGGCCAAAGACAGTCTGTTGAATTAGCGTGAAGCATGTTAGTGGGAAGAATGCGATCACGTGAGTTGGCCAAAGACAGTCTGTTGAATTAGCGTGAAGCATGTTAGTGGGAAGAATGCGATCACGTGAGTTGGCCAAAGACAGTCTATTGAATTAGCGTGAAGCATGTTAGTGGGAAGAATGCGATCACGTGAGTTGGCCAAAGACAGTCTGTTGAATTAGCGTGAAGCATGTTAGTGGGAAGACTGCGATCACGTGAGTTGGCCAAAGACAGTCTGTTGAATTAGCGTGAAGCATGTTAGTGGGAAGAATGCGATCACGTGAGTTCGCCAAAGACAGTCTGTTGAATTAGCGTGAAGCATGTTAGTGGGAAGAATGCGATCACGAGCTTATTTGGAAATATGAAAAAATAGAGAAGTAAAACCCGTTAGGGAAACATCACCGTTCAACATATTGTGCGTGCCAGTCGTGATATATGAAGAATAGTTCTCACCTTGTTTCCATTCCTTGTTGCTATGTTTACTATTTCCCCAAACTATTCTCCCTCAGTTGACGGCCTGGCGTGTTACAAGTGTAGCATAATCTCAGACCCTTTAACCTGCGCTACCACAGAGTTGTGTCCTCCTATGAGCGTAAGACACAAAATTCATTGAACACAAGCGATTGAATCTTTGATTTTTACCTAATGCTAATGAAAATATTTATTAGTACTTCTTTTTTTTCCTTTTTCATTAATTTGTATAGTATTATTATTATTTTTTTTTTTTTTATTTGTTCCCCAATACATTTTATTTATTTATTTTTTTGGCTGGCACTTGTTTTCAGCAATGTTTCACAGAAAGGATCCAGGAAGGTACCCGAGGCTCATATTTTAACATGGGATGTGAAACCTGGGCGGTGAGTTGTCACAATAAAAGGACATTTCAAAAAATGTATTCAAAACGATTTTAAGAGACTTTAAAAAAAAATGTATCATAATTGTAATGTTTGCCATTGTAGAAAACTAATGAGTTTAAAATTAAGAGTGTAAATACTTAAACATGGATCATTTTTCCCCCTTTTTTCCGATTCCTGCAATCGTATTTATTCATAATTCAGAAGGATTTGCAAAGTTTATTGTAAGATTGAGGGACATGACATCTGACAGCCTGTAAAATGTTGACTATTAGATACGTTTTGAAGTACTAGCTACTATATCTCGTTATCATAGCTTTAAATACATATTAGACTAGTCTGTTGTTGTCAGCCCCTCGCACTCTGCTTTATGTTTAAAAAAAAGTGTGTGTGGGGGGGGGGGNTGTAAGCTAGTACAAAAAAAGTCCTGCGAAATATTACATTACGAATGGGGGGGGGAGAGGGGGGGCGTGGCTGTCAGGCCGCGAGCTACATGCGTGACAGTTGAACTCAGGTAAAAAGGTTGAATTGTTTTCGGAGGTGACTATTATAAAAATCAATAAAGAGCTACGGGTATTGTGTAGGACTGTCTATAGGACTATCTGTAGGATTGTCTGTAGGACTATCGTTTAAAGGCTGGCAGGTAGTGTGTACGATTGTCTGTAGGCTTTTTCATATAAAATGAGAAGTTAAATCTCTTTTATTTTCACACCTAGACCCACCGGATATTTTCTCAAAATACCCTGGACCGGTGTAAAAATTGCAATCGCCGGTTAAACCTTAGTTTAATTATAATTTGATAAAGCCAACTGTTTAACTTTGAAATTTTAAAAATTATGTGTGTGGCTGTTTTGGAGTCTAGTAGCTTTCATCACCATGTATGTCTAGTTACGCCAAGGTTGTTTCTTTGTATAACAACACCTTCATGTGTCGCATTTGCTGCTACGTTTAAAGGCTGGCGACTGCCCGAAACAAGACACCAACGATCCATTGGTTGGGAAGAGAAGCGACGAGACCGACTTGGTCTCACGCAACAGGACGAGCCGAGAAGTCGCGTGTAAACAGTGCTGCACATTTGATAACTGCAACCGTGGATTCAACTGCGCCTTGACAAGTGAGCATTGAATCTTCTTAAATACGAATTGTTGTCACACTAGTGGCGTGAATGATTTGTATGGAAACGGTGTTTGGTGTAGAGAGTGTATGTGTAGCTGTATCTATAATATGCTGGGTCGTATACGTGTAAGGAGAGACGACGTGTTAGTGTTTGTCGGGGTGGTGTTTTTGGAAGGAAAGCAGTGATGGAGTGTTCTATTTTTTTTTGGAGTTGAATATTTAATAAAGAGACGATTGTTCTATAAAACATTGGCTTGTTAAGTAAGTGAATTACCATAGACAGCGAAGGTATTGAGCTGACGATTCCCGGTTCTAAGTACGAATTTATGACAGCTCTTTCTTCTTATCAAGTAAAACTCTATTCAGATAGATTTTTCTCCAGTTTAATATCCGTATAAAGGTCTGGACGTTGGTGCTGACGTCTATACAGAGAGATATGAGTAGGTAAGGTGGAGAAAGTTGTCAGTGATCTATCAATAAATCCGGATGACATGTAAAACCTCACCAGCCGCCAACGAAATAGTTTAAGATTAAGATTCAATTTTTTATTATTCCAAACAGATCGATATTTCTGAATATGGTTAGAATATTTTTGTTCAATATAATGGTGGGTGGATGGGACTCACTGCGAGCCTTGAGCGGCAACTTTTCTAAGAGAAGGAAAACTCTGAATTCAAACCAGAAGCCAGAATGATCAAATAAAAAAATATATGGGGGCCCCAAAAAAAAAAAAAAAAAAAAAAAAAAAAAAACTAAATAAAATTATTATTATTTTTTTAAATAAGTTTTTTATTTAAATTCAGACATCCCTTGTTTTCTCTATGGTAGTTGTGTTGCCACAAATTAACTATTTATTATAATTTTTTAAAAAAATGAATAGAAATTAACTGCACACATATTTTTTGTAGATTATGTACACACATTTGTATTCCGTAGCGAGAGCACCCGACACGCCCCAGTACGCCGCTTGGCTGGCCGTGCGTCTGCTCCCGGAGCTTAACAAAAACAACTTCGAAGGGACCATAGAGGTCTACTACAACGGCCGTTGGGGGACCATCTGTGACAGCAACTGGACGGACACTGATGCCCTGGTTGCCTGCAGGATGTTGGGTTATCTTGGGTTGGTTTGTTATTTGTTCAGATTGCAGACATTTTTTGTTTGTTAAATCGTCTATATCAGGCCTGCACAACATACGGCCCGCGGGCCGCATTTGACCCGCCAGCACCCACTTGGCGGCCAGAGAAATAACGAAATATTTTTTATTATTATTATTTTCTTTATAACTTTCCCCCCTGTCCTATCATCTTTCGGCCTGCACAAGCATTTAATAAAGTATTATATATATATATAACTTATTATACATTTTATTCATACATATATATATATATATATATATATATATGTATGAATAAAATGTATAATAATTTGAAAACTAATTAATTAGTGTAGCTAATAGGATGAACTCTAATAAATGTAATTTTGGTGACGTATATTTTAATGGTATGCATCGTTGAAAACGAAATTCTTTAAACACGCAGAAATATTTCGGTCTACTCAGTTTCGTGATAAACGATTTTCACCGTGCGACAAATTTAGCATACGTTAAAATACTTTTTTGAGAAAAAAAAAAACATCAATAAAAGGATACGATTTTATAAATTGTTAAAAACAAAATGGGTACCTTACATTTTTTGAATGGACAGCTCCTAGCTACTGTTTATTTGCTCCTAGCTACTGTTTATTTGCTCCTAGCTACTGTTTATTTGCTCCTAGCTACTGTTTATTTGCTCCTAGCTACTGTTTATTTGCTCCTAGCTACTGTTTATTTGCTTCCAGCCACTGTTTATTTGCTACTAGCTAGTTTTTATTTGGTCTTTGCTGGTGTTTAATTTGCTACCAGCTAGTGTTTATAAAGATCCTAGCAAGTGTTTATTTAATCCTCCCAGCTAGTTTTAATGTGTTCCTATCAAGTCTTTATGTACCACATGTGAAAAAGCCTTAAAATATATCGAGATTTCCGTGAATCTCCAGACAAGGCGCTTCAGCGAAGAATGGGAGCGTACTCAGCTCCAACGTCCAGACCTTGATGCCCAATGTCGAGTGCTCCGGGCTCGAAGACAGTCTCGCCGACTGCGGCCACGGTCCACTCGGCAGCCACAGCTGTGGGGACACCAAAGATGCTGCCGTCACATGTTCGTCAGGTGAGTCCTTGTTTGATACCTACATACATTGGAAATGGGAATGTCGTCTGCTACACGCCTCTGGATTCGCCATATGACCTCACAAGACAATGAATTATTAAGCAGATAACGAGAAGCATGTTGTTCTCACAGGTTGCGAAATGTTGCTCCCTGTATTAGATCAGTCATGAGGTGTTGCCATCCATGAAGAGACGCAAGCCAACTTGTTGTCCCATATTTATACTTTCAATAAGTGTGTCGAGATTTTACGGAAAAAGTGTGGGTTTTTTTAAAAATTAAAATACCATTTTAATTGAGATATTGAACAATATAATAATTAGATCAAAAAAACTTATTTCAAGCTTAATCAACAACAGACACAATATCAAAATAAATAATATTTATTATGTGTAAATATCAAATTAATATCAAATGTTTCCAACTTTTCAAAACTAATTGGAGAGTAGTGTTTTATTCAATTGTTATGAAATAAAAGTTGATTTGCAAACATAATGTGGACATTCGATCTAACCAATCAGAGGACACAGATGATGGCGCCATATTCATGGTGGACGCACTCAACAGCACCTTCATCAGGATGGACGTGAGGACGACCTCCTACAGCTACGTCCGGGTTGAGGGCGTCTCCAACCCGGGCAGCTTCGATTACGATCCCACGGAGGAGCGGATCTATTTCCCCGACGAATCGTACCAGCAGATCAACAGCATGAGATTTGACGGCACGGACGTCAGGAATGTCAAGCAGCTGAACTTAAGTAGGTCAAGTCAGGGATGTTAGACGATTGAACTTAAGTAAGTAAGTAAGGTTTAGAATGTTCAACAACTGAATTTAGGTAAGTTAAATCAGGGATGTGAGACAATTGACCTTAAGTAGGCCAAGTCAGGTATTGTAAACAACTGAACTTAAGTAAGTCAAGTCAATGATGCTAGACAAATGAACATAAGTAGGCCAAGTCAGGGATGGTAAACAAATGAACTGAAGTAGGTCAAGTAGGGGATATTAGACAACTGAACTTAAATAGGTCAAGTCAAGGATGCTAGACAAGTGAACTTAAGGTAGTCCAAACAGGAATGTTAACCAACTAAACTAAGGAGCGCTCAACATACCTGGTTGAAATTTTGGCTGCGTTAGATAAGTTTATAACATGATTATAACCTAGTGCCTCACCACGATGGTTTTATAGCTAAGATTGGGGAGCTTTTGGAATGTTCTTAATTTAAACACAATCCTAATCACAGCGGCTGAAGACAACATTTCGGGCGGCGATGGCGTCTCTATTTTATGGTGAAAACAGTCATACACATGAAAATTAATGCCTTGTCAACATTTTCATGGCTGGTTTGTTCTAAACATTTCAACAGATTCAAGGCCAGACAACGTCAAAATTGACCCCATCAACCGCCTCCTCTTCTTCACCGACAAATCTCTCAATCTCATCTCTTCTATGAACTTGGACGGCGGCGACTTCCAGAACGTCCTTACGACGGGCACGGACACGCCTCGTGGACTGGCTCTATATCCGGACACAAAGTAAGCTTCGCAGTGGCGACGCCATCAAATTTAACATGGCGGGTCCCTTGCAGATCTTTAAAAAAAATGTGGCGGGTCTAAAATAAATGTATTAAAAATAAAAATTTAAACATATAAAGACATTTAAAATGGAAGTTCTCTTACATGTAATGTAGTTTACGCTTAATGAGCATATATACAATATTAGTAACTAATAAAAATTTACCAGGTCATTTGCCAGGTCCCAAGATTTTTTTTTACCAGGTCCTGGGACCCGGCGGGACCTGGTGTAGCGACGCCACTGAAGCTTCGTGCTAAACTTTACCTTTTGCTGGGACTTAATTCCAACTTTGAACTTCGTTTTTGTTTTACCATGTGGACTAAAGTTAATTAGCTTTAAAATTTTAAAAAAAAAAAAATTTCCAAGTCGGTCTTCAAAATATAAGACTTACTCCAAGACTAAAAGTCATTGTAAACAGAAAGTAATGCTGTTCTTGTACATAAGAATCCTCTCTTGCGTTTTTTTTTTCAGAACGCTGTACTGGACGGACTTGGGAGAGACACCAAAGATAGAATCTGCTAACTATGATGGCACCAACAGGAAAGTACTAGTCAGCACTAACCTCAAAACTCCGAATGCCCTCACCATTGACTTTCAAAGTAGGTGGGAAAAGTCTTAAGTCTACTCCAAAGTAGGTATACAATGTCCAAATCATGTCCAAGGTAGATGCAATAAGTCAAAAGTCTAATCCAAAGTGAATGAAAAAAAGTTCCTGTGTTGGACGGAAATGGTTTTCTTCCAGCTAATCGTCTGCGCAATTGTTTCGGGGACATAAGTGTAGCCTCTATTTCTTTCATTTCTACGGCAGTCGTGGCTGTTGTGTGCAATGTCTGGTAGCATTTCTACGGCAGCCATGGCTGTTGTGCGCAACGTCTGGCCGCATTTCTACGGCAGCCGTGGCTGTTGTGCGCAACGTCTGGCGGCATTTCTACGGCATATATAGAGTGACTTCCTCTCTGAGCGCATTCCTCCCATTGGTAAATACTGAGTGAACAAACTTTTCCCTGAAAGACATTATTTACCACTTTTCATCATAGGACTCTTAAACCCTTGACTTTACCCTGGCGTTCGTAGTTATCAATCTCGGTTGTAGCTCGTGTATATATGCCTGGAACGGGTTGCAGCTCAAGGTGGCTCCTCTTGCCGTATTCGAGCCGTCCATTGCTCGCACGGCGCAGGAGCTGCGGGAGTTCTCTTATTTGGTGTCTTTCATCCGGGGACTTTACCCTCTTTCCCATTAGCCCCAATCATTTTTTTTTTTGTTACCAGTACAATTTAAAGGTTTTATTTCCGCTTGTCCCCTATGGATAGGGGGTTATTGTATGTCCGGGTGCATCGTGGTTATTTAAAAAATTCTCAGAATTATTTATATGAACTCTTAATTTGAAACTACGTTGTCAGATCTCTCAGTCCTTGATTGGTTTACATCATCAGGGCACCTTCTCTTCTTCGTGGACAGCGGCCTCGGCACGATTGAAAGCTTGGACCTACAAGGAAACAACCGAAAACTCCTACATCAAGACTCCAGCGCGCAGTTTTACTCCATCGACCAGTTTGACAAATTCCTTTACTTTACGGACTGGAGTAAAGGGTATTTTAATAGCACTTGATTTATTCTGAAATAGAGGGTATTGTAGCTACATTTGAATCATTACTGACAATCCAAAAAAGTGGTTTTACATAACAATATATTAAAAAAAAAATTATTGTTATTGAACAGTAGACAACTGTAGTCTTCTGCAGTGCTGCCAATGTTGTAATTAAATTAATGAAATAATCTTCCCTATTCCCCTTTAAGATCTCCAATGAAAGTCTACGTGGACGGCTCGGGACTGCAGTACGTCGGACCCCCTGTCTCTAATAAACTAATGGACATTCGACTGCACAGCCGATACAACACTGACATTCCAGGTTGTAACCTCTTTAGCTGCATGGCTTGGAGTTGGTCACATAACGACAAAAAGCTAAGCGTCATTAGACCCCTTAGGAAGATTGGCTTAATGTAGCTCTTCTCAAAACACAAAAAACATTCTTGGAAAGTCGAGCAGAGAAAAATGCTTTAGCTTTTCTTTTATTCTTTTTTTTTTTAATGTTTAAAGTTGGCGGTTTTTTTTCTTCCCATCAACTATTAACAAAACTTGAGAAAATTTTGGGAAGTTTTTATTGTTACATATGCTCTACACTAGATCACTGTTACAGATGTTCTACACTAGATCACTGTTACATATGTTCTAAGCCATGTCAATGCCACAGATGAACAACACTGTATCATTGTCACAGATGTACTACACTATAGAAACGTTTTAAAAACTGATAGCAAGTTGCCAACGGTACACTAATAGTTTATTAGATTCCGAGTGTTTAACACGTCTCATTCATATTTTACTGAATTTGTACTCTATGATTCTTTTCATTATATTATCAAACATCAATGCATTTTTATTTTATATATATATATATATATATATATATATATATATATATATATAATAAATACCGCTTCGTTTATACATTATTTCTCTTGTTTTTTTCATCCTGTAGGAACGGCAACTCAGTCAATACACTAATAGTTTATTAGATTCAGAGTGTTTAACACGTCTCATTCATATTTTACTGAATGTGTACTCTATGATTCTTTTCATTATATTATCAAACATCTATGCATTTTTATTTTATATATATATATATATATATATATATATATATATATATATAATAAATACCGCTTCGTTTATACATTATTTCTCTTGTTTTTTTCATCCTGTAGGAACGGCAACTCAGTCACCATTCGTGTTTGACCCGGCTGAGGTGTTCGTGCGCCTCATGGGGACCGCTGACTGGAGCAGTGGACAAGTTGAGTTTTACGCCAATGGCCAGTGGGGAAAGATCTGTGACGACACCTGGGATGACAGGGATGCAACCGTCGTGTGTGGCATGCTGGGATTTGATAGGTAGATTGATGGTTCATTTTTTTTCCAGCAGTAAACACACACCAGCTTTAGACGATTGTATGCTATTTTTTATGCGGATAAATATCACAAATAGTAAACAACTAAATGGATGAAATAAGGCAGGGGTGCTCAACCTGTGGGTTGCAAACCTATTGGGGGTGTGTCGAAAGACCCTTACATAAGGGTTGCCTTAAACCATCGGGAAACACATGAAGTAGCAACGAAAATAATGTTATTTTTGGGGTCAGCGCAAGATGAGGAACTGTATTAAAGTGTCATTAGGAAGATTGAGAACCACTGAAATAAGGGATTCAATGTAACTCAACCAAATATCTCTTTATTTTTTTAAACAGTAGAAGATTTATTAGCATAAAGCTAGTGTCATTTATTTTTTTAAAAATTTCCCTATCCATTAAAAGCGATAATTTTCTTTCCATTTCCTGTGTCCCATTTTATAAATTTCACTTTCACTTTCAATCATTTGATCACTATTGCACTGGAGATTCACCCAGCTAAAATCACTGAAATCTAGCTTGGCCTCACTTTACAATGTTTAAGGAAAAATGTACTTTTTAAGCTAAAATGTTTGAGGTATACAGCCCAGCCTCTTCATCACAGCTATCTAAGATCACATCCGACTCTCCTCATCACATATATATTGATATAGCATTCACATTTTCATAACAGATATCTAAGATTACATACCATATGTATCACATATACCAACGATCAGCTCGACCAGGGGGCATTCCTCCCCTTAAATTTAGGACTGGAAGATTTCAAAATTCATTTGCTTCCTAGTCTATCAGACTTTACCAGCGAGCTCCCTCTGATTTTGCGAAATCTAAATAATCACCCTTGCTGTTAAAATTGCAACTGGGGAGTGAAGTCTTATGACAGATTGCAGCGGTTTCTAAAAATTGTATAAGTTAATAATCTCTCGAGTGGTGTTGAACGTTATATGATCACCTTAACACAAAAAAAAAAAAGTAAACACAATGTCATATTTAACATAACGCTTGCAGTGTATTAAGCAGCATACAGTTTGCAAGTATATCAATTAGCACTGGTTCTTATGTTTCAGGACAAAGGCCAAAGCTCAGGTCACCAATCAGCAGGCCACGGGCAGGGGTTACGGCATGAACTCCCTCGACGTGGTTCAGTGCACGGGAACCGAAGACCACATCGCCAAGTGCGGGATCACACCAAAGAACTGGAACGTGCACAACTGCTCTCGCAGTGGGCTGGCTGGTGCCATCTGTGAGCCGCCGCAACAAGCTGGTGTACCAGGTAGGTCGGTCTCTTAGACAGTTACAGGTGATCTCCAGACGGCTACAAGTGAACTCTAGGCAGTTACAGATGTTCTCTTGACAGTTACAGATGAACTCTAGACATATACAGATGAACTGTAGAAAGTTACATGTTTTGTCTTTAATTTTGATGAGCTTAATTAAGTTCCATGGGCGCCCGCAGAAAACTTTCCAGGGGGGGGGGCAAAAAAATCGATTACCTTTCCAGGAGGGGGGCAAAAATTTTTTAGTAATGTTTTAATGTAGTTTTAATCTACTGTAGCGTATTTGTATGGTGAACGAACGGACAGGACATCAGCTTAGTTGCTTTCTCTTTATTTTCTCTTTACTTTAATAATTTTTTTGTCTATTCTTGTCTAATTTTTTTTTATCCAATCGGGGGGGGGGGGGGGGGGGCAAGTGCCCCACCTTGCCCCTACCTGCGGGCGCCCATGTTAAGTTAATATAACGATTATGTTGTTGATGATGACCTATATGTCTTAGCTTGTTTAAGTTTCATGACAAAAGCATCTTTTGATTTTTAGCATTATAATTTCAACTATACCCAGATATCCTCGCATAAAGCAAAATAGATTAGATGAGACGACACCAAATAATTGTTAAACTGCCCTGTATTTATTACCAGACCCGACATTTGACAACTTTGTACTTTTCTACGACGTCTACGATGGACAACTGGTGAAAGTGGATCAGAGAACGTTCGGGTAAATATAATTTTCTATCTGTCAGTGTTTTTTTAAATTTTTAAAAAAAAAAATTTCACATATGTCGGATGCAGTGGATGTCTAGTTGTGTTTCTTGTGTCCCACTGTGTTCTTTATGCGTTCCACGTCGCGATGGTTGCCAGATTTTTCATTGTTTCAATGTCATACCACGTGCGGGACTCCATCTCAGAGTTTGTCTTCTACCACATCTTCTTCTTCTATATCTTAAGGGCCCACGATCAATTTATTGATCATTTTGGCTCCTATGCATGTAGATGGGATTTGCAATGTTTCTGTTACTGGTGGTGATGAGGAAATTATGAACTAGGGGTTTGAAGGCTTGAGGCAATAGACACAAATGTGTCTAGTGTTGTCGCCTCAACTGTTCCTTTTGAAAGATGGTTCCAGTCCCTGATTGTCTTGGGCAGGAATGAGCAGCTCCTATACTGGCTTCTTGCTGGTATGAGCCTGAATTGCCTGTCATGGCCTCGTCGCTGTCTATGGGGGAGAGGGACGAGTTTCTGTTTAATACTGGAACAGTGGACCAGCCCATTATTTATCTTGTACATCATGGAGAGCCTGGATTGTCGTCGTCGTTTCTCCAATGGTGACCAGCCTAGTGTTTCTAGCATGCTGCCAACACTAGAGGTATTCCTGTAGCGGTTTAGGACAAAACGTGCTGCTCGTCGCTGGACCGCCTCCAACCTGTCAATGCTCTTCTGGGTAAATGGGTCCCAGACTGAAGATGCATAATCTAAAATCGGACGGATAAAGGCTTTATATGCTCTTTCTTTCACACAGGAGTTGCCAATCTTTAGATTTCGCCTTAAGAACCCCAAGGCTTGGTTTGCTTGGTTACATACATTGTTAATATGCTCGTCCCAGCGGACCTCTCTTTGAATGGTAACACCCAGGTACTTTACGGAGGAAACTTGCTCAAGAATATGGCCGTGCAGTTTGTATTGGTAGTGTAGAGGAGTACAACTTCTAGAGATTGATAGTGTCTGGCACTTGGCAGGATGAAATTCCATGTCCCAGCTCATCTCCCACTCAGCTAACAGATTGAGATCCTGTTGTAGCTGGTCCTGGTCAGATCTGTTGGCGATCGTCCTATACACTGCTGTGTCATCTGCAAACAGTCTTGCCTGTGATGTCAGTTTCTCCGGTAGGTCATTAATGTATGCTAGGAACAAACAGGGGCCCAGGACTGATCCCTGGGGGACCCCTGACTTCACATTGACAAAGGAGGAGCTTGTACCGCCCACCACTACTGCTTGGCGTCGGTGGCTGAGGAAGCTAGAGATCCATGTTTTAGTGGTGCCTTGAATCCCATATATCTGGAGTTTGTGTAGAAGCAAACTATGATTCACCCGGTCAAATGCTTTTGCGAAGTCCATTACTAGCATTACATGGGCTGTCATCTAAGGATAAAGAGCCTCAGCCTTCCATGGTGTGGGTATCAAGTTTAACTGCTGCATCTCTGATTCGTGGAACATTTCCTAACTACATGATTGTAGTTTTAAAGGGATTGTAATGTCTAAAATTTCATGTATCTTCATTTTTTACCAACACTGTTGATCTAAGCCGTGAAATTCTGAATCAAAGTTGAAATAAATGCGGGTAAAACATATCATTTAAACTGAATGCGTTTAACAGCAACAAAAATCCTCAATGTTGATTTTAAATAATACTTTTTTAATAAAAAAAACATATTAACCTCTTGAAACGAATCCTATTCATAACTTGTTCTGTAACATCCACAATCCACATGTTCGTAACTTGTGTTGTAACATCCACACTCTACAGTTTTATAATGTGTGTTGTAACATCCAAACTCCACAGTTTCATAGTGTGTGTTGTAACAACCAAAACAGTTTCATAATGTGTGTTGTAACATCCAAACTCCACAGTTTCATAATGTGTGTTGTAACATCCACACTCCACAGTTTCATAATGTGTGTCGTAACATCCCCACTCCACAGTTTCATAATGTGTGTTGTCACATCCAAAACAGTTTCATAATGTGTGTTGTAACATCCAAAACAGTTTCATAATGTGTGTTGTAGCATCCACACTCCACAGTTTCATAATGTGTGTTGTAACATCCACACTCCACAGTTTCATAATGTGTGTTGTCACATCCAAAACAGTTTCATAATGTGTGTTGTAACATCCAAAACAGTTTCATAATGTGTGTTGTAACATCCAAAACAGTTTCATAATGTGTGTTGTAACATCCACAGTTTCATAATGTGTGTTGTAACATCCAAACTCCACAGTTTCATAATGTGTGTTGTCACATCCAAACTCCACAGTTTCATAATGTGTGTTGTAACATCCAAACTCCACAGTTTCATAATGTGTGTTGTAACATCCACACTCCACAGTTTCATAATGTGTGTCGTAACATCCCCACTCCACAGTTTCATAATGTGTGTTGTAACATCCATACTCCACAGCTTCGCCATAGCTCCCATCACAATACCACTGATACCCGTGGCCATCACCTATTCCCCACAAGATCAGACCATCTACTTCTCGGACGGCCAGAACGGCACATCAGACATTTACGTGGCCAACCACAGAGGCAGTATTGTACGAACGTTCGGCTCTGCCATACCAAAAGGTTTGCTTTTCTGATCTGGCCTATGGTTTGTTTTTTTTTTTTAAATTTACATTCTCTATTTCCAAACAAAAGACACTAATAAATAGATCTCTTGCCTTACTCTTGTCAATATCTTTTAAAAGTGGCGAGAGTGGTGGTGTAACGCTTTAGATCTACTTTAAAGTAAAAAAAATTAGGTCAAACACAGGCTATACCATAAGAACTAATAATAGGTGTTTTAAATTTAATGAAACAAAATACATCGCCTACATTTTAATGCACTACAGCATTTTTATTTTACTGATTTTAATGTGCTCTTTATTACAAAAATGAATACAAAATATTTAATTTTAAAAATGATTAACTAATGTTTTATTTTTCATTCCATTTGTTTCGTTTTCCAATCTAGGGAGTATCATAGATGGCCTAGCCGTTGACATGAACAGAAACCTCCTGTTTTACACCGACTCTGGCCACGGGGCAGTAGTGTCGATCACCCCCGATGGGACGGTCATCAAGAATGTCAGCACGGGTATAGGCAAGCCGATGGGGGTCGCTTTGGATAAGAAATCTGGGTAAGCATTTCCAAGATTTATTGCAGCCCCCACAAAACACACCCCTATCTAAAATGACTTGTGGTTAAATAAAATAAAAAAACTGTTATACTGTTCCTGCTCTTAAAATGGTAACACAGCACCACTGTTAAATTGGTAACTGAGTAATTCCTTAAAATAGTAACACAGCACCACTGTTAAATTGGTAACTGAGTAATTCCTTAAAATAGTAACACAGCACCACTGTTAAATTGGTAATTGAGTAATGTCCTAAAATAGTAACACAGGGCCACTGTTAAATTGGTAACTGAGTAATGTCCTTGAAATAGTAACACGATTAGTGCCCATTAAATTAGTAGCATATAGACGATGTTATACGATGTTCACACGGACCGGGGCCGGCACTACGTTCGCTGGCCCCCCGGCCAAGCCTAACTTTGGATCCTTGGACAAGCTTAACTTTGGCACACCGGGCAAGCGTCAATTTGGCGCCCTGGGCAAGCTGAACTTTGGCGCCCCTTCCAATTATTATCATACAAATTTGTGCAAGAAAAATACTTATGTTTAGATAATGAATTTATTACGTAGGTTGTTTTTCGTTGCTGTTGTTTGGTTTTTTTTAACAAAGAGTTTTAGAAAAAAATACAATTATTCTCTTAGCTTGCACTTGGACAGAATGAGCAATTATCCTACCGTTGGCACCATCAACAATTGGCATACAGTGGATTTTTTCCCTAACATTTAGATCAGCAAATCTTTTTATTGCACTTTCTAATTTCATCCATGGCGCCCACATGCAATGATTTTGCTTATTTTTGGAGATCTTTGATGGTGCCCTAAGCTGCCCAAGTTGCCGGTACTTTGTGCCGGCTCTTCACCGGGCACAACAATAGGTTATAAATGTACGTTTGAAGTCTAGCCATCTCTGTGAACTATTGACGTAAAATCCTAATATGAATTATATTAGAGAACTAGCAAATGTAGCAGCTCTCTTAATGTTGGCTCATTGAACCTAAGGCTTGTGCCAACAATTATATTTTCCTTTAATAAGATTTTAAAATGGTGTATCGAAATGATCAACTTCGTCTTGAACGATTACTGCAGGGTCACTATGGACGCATTTACTACACATGACGATAATGACTCGATGTGAGCAGCACACATTTTTGGTTTTAAATCCTTAACAGCGACTTCGCTTTTGTTCGTGTGTTTCTGACAGAGTCTTCGGATGGCTAATTGACCCACTTACCGTCCCGTCACGACATCGAGCTGCCACTTGGCACATAGACTAGTTGCAGATGACAACACATTCTATGATATGCTCAGCCCCATCCCCACCATCAACCCCCAAAAATAATTATTTCACGTTTTTCAAGTAGGAAATTAATGAAATGTATTTTTTCAATGGTTGGGGTGAGTAATTGTGTAGCTGTTGATATGGGCTTCAGTTTATTTAAAACGTATGTGGGTAACAAGTAAAAATATATTTTTTTTTTTTTAAAGGGGGAAATTAAGGAAAATTGAAACGTTTTTTCGCCAGAAGTTTACCCATTCACATAAACACTTCTTAATAAAATTTCGCACAATTACATAAATGCGAACAAAAATGCTTATTAAGGATTTATACGAGTTCTTTTTTTTTGGGTTATATTTGCATTTTTTATTCGTTTTTTTTTCTGTCCCAAAAAACATTCATATTCTAAAATCGGCTCTAGGATTATTCAAATGATAGATTTACGGGTGGACAATCAGTTCTTGGCATTGCTTAAAACAAAAGCACATTTAAAAAAAATGTAAAATCATTCCCTCAGAGTTGTTTACTGGACCGACTGTGGAACCCCGGCCAAAATTGAGAAGTCCAACTATGACGGGACAAACAGGCAAGCCATCGCAAGCACAAACCTGGACCTACCAAACGGGATAGCCGTGGATTCTAAGGGTAAACCCTGATAATCTTTAGTCCACTGATCTCCTAATTTTTTTTTTATTTCTAAAACAGAAAATGTAAGTGAAGCTGAGTTACTTTGATAATTTTTTTTTTAAATTTTAAAATCAACTCACCCCTCCCACAAAAGCTCAATATCTGTTTCTTAGAGGTTGATGTAGTTTGTGAAAGAGAATCCAAGTTGGCCGTTTGTATAGTTTGGAACTGGACGTTTATATAGAGGGAACTGACCATTTATATAGAGAGAACTGGCCGTTTATATAGAGGGAACTGGCCGTTTATATAGAGGGAACTGGCCGTTTTATGGAGTGTTGAAATTAGTGACCGAAAATTAAATGCCATTAACAACGACTTTCAAAAAAGTTTTGAATTCTATAGATTGAAATTTTAAAATTTCTTAAGCCGATCAATGCAGTACGTACACATTTCTAAAAAAATTATATTTATATAGTTTAAAGATAAATCCGTCCAATGTTAACATAACAAATTTCAATTAGAGTTGAACAAATCAAAGGAGTCTGATTTCATCTCCTATCAGATTAAATGTTTGCTTTTGTATCCAGCCGGCCTCGTATACTTCTGCGACGCCGGAAGTAAGACGATCGAAGTGATGAATACGGACGGGACCAATAGGAAAGTCCTGTACAAGGACTACAGATCCCAGTGCTACTCGATCTCCCTCACGTCCAAGTACATCTTTTACAGTGACTGGGCCAGACTGTGAGTATGGCATAGTTCACGTGCATAGTTTTAGTCTACTTGGGGGAGACTTTAATAATAGGCACAAGCTAAGCCTAAAGTACCAGGTTTTTACGCCATAATCATATCTACTGATTATCCATCGGCACGTATTGAACAAAGAATGATGGCAGTTTCTGCAAACATCATTCCAAATTGAGTTACTAGTTTGCACTAGTTAAATTGTGTTCTATTTCCTGACGCACCTGTGAGGAAGCATTGGTACCCCCGGGGGCACCACGGCACATAACTCGTTAACCTCTGCACTACGCCATATAATACATTTGGGTTGTGTTTCTTTTTTTTAACTTCATACCCCATCAGGAGAGCCTAAGTTACATTCATATGGAAACAAAGAGGTGTTGGCGGGAGAGGCTGTAGTCAGGTTAGGTCAAAGGAAATGCGCGAAGCAATTGTGGGAGAATCTTTAAAAGGGGAAATAAAAAATAACGAAAGTGTCGGCAAGAAGCCTTCTTCAGCAAACAAACAACAGTGAAGATGAAATAAAAATAATGCTTAGTTGTATTGTAGAATCCGAGAGGATAACAAGAGGAATGGGACAGATTGGTCGTGTCCAGTTTAATTTCTCTCCAACATGTGTTCGAAATGTCCTATACTTTGTCTCCCTCATTTTCCTGCTAAAAATCAAAGCTCTCTTCATATTTCAGATAATTTCATGTCACCTCTGTATTAACTCGTGAATTCGTTTATACATTTGCAGAAACATCATGAGACTGAACAGAGATGGAACCCACGAACTTCCAGTTGGACCAGACACCTTCACACAGATCTACGGCGTGTACGCCTACGAGTCTGGATTCTCATAAATGCGTCAGGACCACTTACGAGTAGCTAAACTCATTTCTATGAACATGGCCCCGTTTCGCAAAGAAAATATTTTGCAGTTCATTTGATGTCATGCCCGCTTTACAGTTTGGCTTACTTTGATGTGGGCGTTGTCCTGGTTGGGTGTGGAAAGAAACGATCGTCCTGCTTGCATTGAACATTTGTGAAACTGAACGTCATTCAGAATAAAAAATTAAAAACTAACTTCCAAATTCTTTTTTTTTTTAAATTGTGAATCAAAAATTAAAAATGGAACCCACCATCGTCAAAAAAACAAAAACAAAACTTTAATGTCTCCTGTATTGACCAAACGAGAATTCTCGAATCCGCCTATGAAATAAAGAATTTCAAACCTAAACTTTATAAGGAAATGAATTTGAAAAATACATCCCACTTCAATGTTTTGCTATTTAATGGTCTAATACAGGCAGGCTTGTAACGGGCCATTCATTTAGTTCGTTGGCAAAATGTTCGACCCACCCACAAAAACAGTAATACAAAAAAAAATGTGTCCAAGATCTACACCGCCCACTGTTTGGCAAGTCAGTGGTTCCAATAATATGAGCCGCGTCCCTCTGGGTGCCCCATTGCCCTCGGGCATAGCCACCATCTTGGGCTTTAAGCTCGTTTTAGATACGATATTTAAAAAAAAATTGAAAAAATAAAATCACATATATATAAGCAGAGAAGGGTCGCCAAAAAATCGTCTTTTTACAGAATCGCTCCAGGTAGCATTTTTTTAAATATGTATATTAAGTAGTACCATTACTTGGCTTCGCTCAGGTCCAACATATTCTCGGCACGGGCCTGCCCTTGGTTGCTTCTCCTTCCTCAGGGGGGGGGGGGGGGGGGGCGCGAAATATTACACTTTTCATCAATTTATTTCCACTTTGAATTTAATCCAGCAGTCTTGGTGCAAAAACGTGTGTAAAAACTAGCTGCGGTTTTTCTAGATTTTTACCCAAGACTTTCTTTTGTTTATTTATTCGCTAACTCGAATTGTAATTTTCAGAACTTTACAACCAGTGCCTGCTGAAAATCTAAATTTGGCATCGGTGCCGGGAATCGACAAATATTAGGAACCAGTGGCGTAGCCCGGGGGAGGGGGGGTTACGTTACACACACTTTGAACATACAGTGGACTTAATATTACGGTAGTACAGGAACCACTGAGTATTTGACCGATGTCTAGCAAATTTATATTTAAAAGCAAAAGGTAACATGACGATAATTCCCACAAAATATTGCGTTTTTGATGCGCGTACGTATTAAATGGATGCCCCCCCCCTAATGACAATACCTCAACGTACATTTGACACAACATGCGTCATGAAGTGAGAAAAATAATTAGCGAAAATCAATTGCATGTAAATTGTCCATAATCATTTTCTACGGCCTTGAGAGTGTCATTTACGCTTAGCAGTATGAAAAGTTAATTACAACGTATATTGAGGTTTATCCATCTATACGTACATGTGTTTGTGTTTTGTGTACATGAATGTATGTCCTGCTTTCCTGTTTGTATGTCCTGGATACATGTGTTTATGTCATGTGTACATGCCTTTAGGGGATGGAATTTATTGTACTGTTTGGTGGCGATTTTAGAACCATCGTTGCATCACGACCCACTTACATCAAAAGTTGCATCACGACACACTTACATCAAAAGTTGCATCACAATACACTTACATCAAAAGTTGCATCACGACCCACTTACATCAAAAGTTGCATCACGACCCACTTACATCAAAAGTTGCATCACGACACACTTACATCAAAAGTTGCATCACAACCCACTTACATCAAAAGTTGCATCACGACCCACTTCCATCAAAAGTTGCATCACGACCCACTTCCATCAAAAGTTGCATCACGACCCACTTACATCAAAGATACCAACCGTGCTTTCAAAACGTTTAATCCATCAGTGCATTAATAATGTCGCCTACGAAACTTTGATTCAGCAAGAGGTCTTCGCAGTGGCGCCAGCTTGGTCGTCAAGAAAGTGATGTCAAAAGTCATTGACTGTGAAATCCTGACCGGTTCTTTCAAAGGTACCAGGGGGTTTGTTCCAGTATTTATTCTTGCATTAGAGCCTGACCTTACGTTTGCATTAAGATGAAAACAGCTTGATTTGAGACTTTTCTTATCTATGATTGTCAACAAAAGGCAAGAAAAAAAATTTATTTATATATTTTCATTTATTTTTTTTAGGGGGAGGGATATATATATATATATATATATATATATATATATATAAGATACTTACACATATTTTAAATTATCTTTTATATCAAAATATATAAAGACTTTTCTTATATATGATTGTCAACAAAAGGAAAGAAAAAAAATTTATTTATATATTTTCATTTATTTTTTTTAGGGGGAGGGATATATATATATATATATATATATATATATATATATAAGATGATTTCACACATTTTGAATGATCTTTGATACCAGAAGATATAAACCAAAGTAATAATGTAATGCATATCGTGTTACTATTCACCTAATTTGCCAAGTGTCCAACATCTAAAAATCCAATTTTACCCGGGTAACTGAATCAGGCTTTAATGTAATTTATACTATAAACAATGTTTTTAGAATAAATACTTTTTAAAAATATAATGTTAATATATAGAGCATGGTCCATGGGGTTGAAAATTTGACAGAATATGCATAGAAGTAACACACTTTACAAGAACACCTAATAGTCCCCACCCCCAAAAAGGCTCGCAACGCCACATTTTAGTCACGCCAATGAACTACCTTAATACTCTAGTAACCCATCCGCTTTTACACCGCAGTTTTTTCTACAAACTATTTCAGAAAAGCAAGTGAGATAAAACAGTACGCACCAAAAGGAATGGCGACTTTTGAAAGGCAAAAATCTCATTTAGCGCAGTTATCGGGAATTTTTCTTTATGTTCCCCTTTGAAAAACATGAAAACTAATTGTTTGGAGGTTGGGCTTGGGGGGACATTCCAAGTCACATGACACAAATCATGTCCATATCCAGTCATGTGTATATTTGCATTAGACTCAGCCCCGGTTTTGTTTCGTTGCTTGGCTTTCGTCGGGTTTATTTTCATTTCACATGGCCGGGCTGTTAGCCCCGAGCACAAGCGTCTGTTGGGGGGGGGGGAGGGGGGGGAGGGGGGGGGGCCCGTTACAGCTCTCTAGGTAGCTGCCTTAATTTTCGGGTAAGGTTTCCTAGCCTTTGTGGGTCCCTTCATGTCCTATCAGGCAATAGGTTCTAATGTTTGTCCTCCAGGGTATTTTATTTACTAGCCAAATCTACCCGCCCCCTGGGGAGGCGCTCGATCAAATATCAATATCTCCGCATGAGGATAGACCGAGACTGTCAACATCTAATTACTGCTGCTTGGCTTTTTCAACACTTCTGTGTGATGAGATAGTCCTGAAGCAGTATGTTCGCATAGCACGTGTGTATCCAACACTTAATTGGTTAGACACGCTATGTGTATATAAGCCCTACAGCTTCAGAGCTACGATGACAACAGCAACAATATATCTGTATACTTGACCGCTTCTTCCTACGGCTTGTCGAATGATGAAGAGACTTTGTGCTGCATTGCTCGTGCTGATTTTCTATGAGGTGAATATATTTTAAAAAAATATTTATTGGATTTATTTATTTTAAAAAAATCAATCTACATTTCACATAAGACAACATTTCTGTCCTTAGAATCAAGCCACAGGTTCAGCTTGTTTTCCTTGCCTACGTTATAAAACAAAGTTTCTAACTTAGATTTATTTCGAATAAAAATTGAGATGTTTTTGTTAATGTCCTTCTACTTATTTTATGGCTCTTTCGACTAATGAGTTTGCCAACCACTGCACTAACATAATGAAGTTCTCACGACATTAAATGTTCATATTTTATATGTTCATGTATATAACTGAAAGCTTTAAAAATATTATGTTCTTATTAATTTTTTTTAATGGTTTCGATTGCTATTTTTTTTCCTCGCAATGCTGTCGTGTACGCCCTCTTGTGTATAACTTACGTTTACGGCTATTTATAAGGGGCGTAGCGAGACGTTTGGACGCCCGAGGGTACTCTGAATTTGCCGCACCCTCCTTCCTACGCCTCTGTATTTATCAACTTGTTAGATTTACAGTAATACGAAACGATGTTCTGATATCAGTTTTGAGTTGATCCAGGGAATTAATCTATACAATATCAAACATCTGCGATAGATGAATACTTTTAGCATATTTTTTTTTTAAATCGTGGTACTATCGACAAATAGATGGGAAGGAAGGATAAAAATCTTTTTGTACGAATTCCATTCAATGAAAAAAATTTTGTATAGTTTTTATATTATAAAGGTCCATATTTTACGACAGATTTTTATTAAATACTCGTAGATTTGCTTTTGTTTTTTTTTATATGATGAATACGTTATATATACACTAAAACAAATGGTCGGCAAATCACGGCTCGCGAACCGCATGCGGCTCTTTACCGACCTGAGTGCGGCTCGGCCATTTGGCTAGAAATTGGTTTTGACTCAAAAACATGGTTCTTGAAAAGAAATTTCGCCCTTAAACTTTTTGTTAATGTCCCTCTGCTTATTTTTTGGCTCTTTCGATTAATATGTTTGCCAATCACTGCACTAACATAATGAAGTTCTCACGACATTAAATTTTCAAATATCTGTGACTAAAAGATTGCGTATATGTATAATATTCCCACTTCGAAGGCTACTTACTTAAAAAGAATAAAACTATATTTAGGTTACAAAAATGTATACAGAACAATGAATAAGACTTATCAAATTGTGCCAATCGATTTCTGACACTTTAGACTCAAATTAAATATATTGTGGTGGATTTTTTTGTATAAAATAAAACGTCACCATTGTAACTTAACTTGAAACTAAGACAGGGAACATAATTTCAGTGCGGATCATTCTCTCGTGATTTAAGAACTCGAATATTGACTAGAATTGTGTGCATCTCGTGCAGATAAAATCAAGCAATTCACAGGATGACTTTTCTAAGATAGATATTTATTACATATATATTGATGAAAAAAATACTATTCCTGTGTTGTGTTACAAAATCAATTAAAATATATAACAAGAACAGATAATTTAATTATTCCAAATTGTGACGTATGAACATATGGTAATAATATTATATAAAATATTCTTTGTATACGATTCCATCTCCATTAAGTATATTTTGTGCATATTGGGCGAAATACAATTATATGGTGTAAGTTTTTGAAAGGTTTTCCAATTCGAGTTGGATGTCTTCCTCATATGATAGCCAAGCACGCAAGAAAAAAAGTCACAAATTCTGAAAATTCTTGAGCATGTTTCACTTAAAATCCTTTAGTACAATTAATTTTTTAATCGAACACTCTCAACTTATCGCGGAACAAACCTTTTATGTCAAAAATGTTTGACTATTCTACATTGGTTACTTTTCTCTTCACTGAAAACAACTCCCCTTAAACTGAACACATTACAAAATAAACTATTTTCTTACTATCCGATATTTTTGATGCTCTTATTTTGTCCAAGCTTCAAACAGTTCCAATTTCTACCACAGGTTCAAGCAGTTGAGCTTCATACAGGGTTAAAGAAACGAGATGGTAAGTCGGCCAATGGTAATACTTCAAGACGCACACCGTCTCTTGCCTTATGTATTTATTGTGTTCAACTTATTTTGATATAATAGACGAATACATTTTTAAAAGAATGGATTAATTTTTTTTTTTTACACATTCTGCAACACGAATTTCATCAAGAGTTTCCATATTTGAAATTAAAAAGGCTTGAACTAAAGCAACATGTCCTAAATGTTCATAATGGATTTTTTTCTTCTTTAAAATTCGACACAATCATAAGTCTTTTCTTTAGCCATTAATTAAATTTATTTCCTTAAGATTTACTTTAAGGACCGTAAACGAATGAAATAGAGGGGGGGGGTCACCTCCCTGTTTTGTTTACAGAGGCTTTTACGCGGCAGATTGTAGGGCTCGGGTACATGGCATCTATCAGTAGGCCTAGCAAAATTAGGCATCATGGCTCCATATGGTCAACTACGACACTGGCGCCATCCAACACACATCTAAAATGAATTTATTCCGCCCCTCCCCCTTTCGTAAATGTTCTTTTAACACATCTTTAGTATCACCTTTGGAAACCATATAGTCTCATCATGAATGCTAAATTCAATTTTTTTTTTTTTAAATTCAAGTCATTTTCTTTTAATGAATACAAATCTTTCCATTCTGTAATCTCTTTGTAAGCCTGCGCCCTTTGCCTGGTTGTTGTTTATTTTTCTTACTATTATAAAAAGAATGGAAACATTTGGGCGCAAACCTGTTCTTAGCTTTGTTTTGTTTTATTTTACAAATTAACTTTAATTTTGTTTCATGTTTATTCAAATAATTTATTTGCTTAAACTTCTTTTATCTGAATGTTTATTTTAAAAATGTTTCACTAACTCCAAACACCAAAAACAATTATTTTTTTTAAACAAAAAGTACTGAGTCATTATTAATTTTTTTTTTTATTATTATTTTTTTTTTAAATATTTAAAATTGCCGGCACATTCTTTCAATTGATTTGCAGCAAGCAGCTACGATGCCTATTATGATTTTAAGACGTCATCATTCAAAGATCACCCCAACGTTGTCAGAGTTGAGAACTTCGAGGGGTCTGCTTGCAGCACAAGAGGTGAGACATTTTGTTGGGATAAATGGCAGCACTAGAGGTGAGACATTTCTTTGGGATAAATGGCAGCACTAGAGGTGAGACATTTCTTTGGGATAAATGGCAGCACTAGAGGTGAGACATTTCTTTGGGATAAATGGCAGCACTAGAGGTGAGACATTTCTTTGGGATAACTGGCAGCACTAGAGGTGAGACATTTCTTTGGGATAAATGGCAGCACTAGAGGTGAGACATTTCTTTGGGATAAATGGCAGCACTAGAGGTGAGACATTTCTTTGGGATAAATGGCAGCACTAGAGGTGAGACATTTTGTTGGGATAAATGGCAGCACTAGAGGTGAGACATTTCTTTGGGATAAATGGCAGCACTAGAGGTGAGACATTTCTTTGGGATAAATGGCAGCACTAGAGGTGAGACATTTCTTTGGGATAAATGGCAGCACTAGAGGTGAGACATTTTGTTGGGGATAAATGGGAGCACTAGAGGTGAGACATTTCTTTGGGATAAATGGCAGCACTAGAGGTGAGACATTTCTTTGGGATAAATGGCAGCACTAGAGGTGAGACATTTTGTTGGGGATAAATGGGAGCACTAGAGGTGAGGCATTTTATGGGATAACTGGCAGCACAAAATATGTGTTTATGAGTGACTATAGCACTAGTAATAAGAGAAATTATTCGGAAAACTAGGGGCACTACAGGCGAAAGTTTAGAGGGTAACTAACTGGTAACTAACCTATCAGGTGTGTGAATGCCAACTAACCTATCACGTGTGTGAATGCCCCATGCTTAAGAACACTGGCCAAGAGCGGCACTTTCGGCCTACTCTGTGACATCTCATACAATTTTATAGCTTCTGTGTTTGCGGTTGGGGGGGGGCTTTCAGTATCTTTTGTTGTTGTTTTTTTTGTGAGTAGCAGGTGGCGTCAAAGTTTAGGAACACCATGACTCCTCGGCGTTACAAAATTCTACCCACTCCACTTTTTAGTAGGAATGCCGATACTGCGTGGAGAGAAGCAACGTAATTATCACAGCTTCCCTTGTAAAGAAGATTTTGTGTGGTTACCTTTTAAAAAAATCTAACAGTATCTTTTGATATGTACGACTGTGCTATTATTAGACAAACCTTAACGCTGTCACTCATAGGCAAACCTTGAAACTATGATTTATTTATTTTTTTAAACCGTGACGTCAACATTTTTTATTCGGAGACCATCAGCGTATCACAATTCTCTTTTACTTAGTCTTTTAACCTGACTGTCGTATTCTCTCCATTGTTGGAATGTGCAAAATATGCGTCACAAAACGGTTAACAGATCTAATCATATTGCGCAGGAGTTCTCAAGATAACCTTATCTAAGGACGATGTCAATAAGCGACGACTTGTGTTGGACTTTGACTTTGAGAACCCCTCGGAATGGACGTTCAACCTCGGTGATTCCAGAACCAACAACGGTTGGGGTAAGGCTGGGTTTCTCATATATTTACTTTGTCTCGTGTGAAGAACATTTAAAGATATGCCGTGCTAGTGAACACATATATCGTTTAAAAAATGTACTCATTAAAAACTGTAAAGCATTTTTAAAGAATACTAGCCAATATACCCGGCATGGCCTGGGTTTGCTTTAGGAGGTGAAAATAAGTCAATTTTACATTTAGCACGTGACCACATAGCTCGATTCAACAATTCATTTATTGAAAACTGTAAAACTTTTGTTTAATGTATACTAGCAAAAATACCCGGCGTGGCACGGGATTGTAAAAAAAAAAAAAGGGGGGGGGGTTTGAGTAAATTCTACATTTTAGATAACATCGAAATAAATGGACCTGTTAAAAAAACATCCACTAAGAAAAAAACGTAATTATTTTTTTTTTAATTTTCTCCTTTGAAAACGCGTTTACAAAATATGACCACACATGGATCCCATTTCCCTTTCAAGTCCTGATCCTACTGAAATCTGTTCAATGTTAAGACCGCATTTCCAAGTATAGATTTCCGATTCCGTTTCGTATCCGGATGGTATCACGTTAACGATGGATCTCGATCCCAATGTGGTCCCGTTTCCGAATGGAATCCAATATCTAAATCTTACACAACCTTTGGACTGTTGAGGAATCAACTGAGACCCTCAATATAGCTTGAAAATGCTCATCAGTAAGTTTGACCATGAATTTACCCTTGTTAAAGTTCATAAAAGAAAAGAGCTTTTCACACAGAAAGTTTAGCTCAAAAAGTCATATGATCCGCTTGAACAATCTAAAAAATCTCAGTTAAAATGGAGGGCAAAGCTGTCATAAATTGTCCATGCTTGTCTGTTTTTTACATTCACCCCTGCTCTAAACCATGCCGAATGCTCCTGACTTCTCACTGCCCTATACAAATGTGTAAAACCGTCTCGGATTCCCTTAGCAAGCCACGTCTTTGTTGCTTTGTGAATTAACAGTTTTAATTATTATGTACTAGTACTTTTTCTCTTGTTGCTTTTATCGTTATTATCATTAGATTTAAAGTTTCAAAGAACATCATTTCACTCATTTTCATTTTTATTCAAGCTGGCGACGCATCCTCACAGAGCAGAGATGCAGAAGTTCAAGGCAACACTAACGCTATCTTGGGACACTTCAGTGACAATGGTGGCAGTGGCTTGGCTTTCAACATTCAAGATCTGTATAGGTGAGTGAACGATTCGTGGGTATGGCAATTACAAGTAATAAACCAATTAATAGTGTATGATCCTGAAGACATTTGGGGAAATTTTTACATGGTAAAAACATAATGTTAGCATTGTAAGTTATGGGAAGAAGCAAGCTCACATGTCTATAAATTGGCCTTTTGGCTACGATTTAGTTGAAATAATTGCCAGAATTTTTGAACTACTCACAAATTAATAAAAGACTTCATGAAATCATTAGACAAAAAATGCAACATTAAGACTAAGGGGCCATAACATCATAAAATTCTCGAACTTACCTAGAAAATTAAACATTTGAAATTATTTACCTATTTTCTCTGATTTTTTTCCCCAAACTGACTACAAATAATAAACATCATATTGTTCTACATTATCTGTACAGAAATCACCTGACCTTAGTAGCCGGAGATGAGCACCTTGTTTGGATTGCTGACAACGACCCCACTAAGACGAACTATTTCTCAAGTCCCGGTTGGTACGCCTTAAACGGACAGTCCGACCACGAGGGACCTGTCAACTATGACCTTTACCTTGGAATCAACAGGGTCATATCCGGAGGAAACTACGATGGACGCGTGGGTTCCGGTCTCTGTCGAGTCGGAATCAAGTTTCTGCCCGCTGTTTAGGCGATGACTCATTCCACGAACATTCTCAAATAATGCCTACAGCCTAGATTACAACACAGTCATGTTTAATAAACTATTTTTATTTAAATCGGATTTAACACTGTTTTGTCAGAGCATACGATATATATATATATATATATATATATATATATATATATNTATATATATATATATATATATTAATTGTTTTTGACGTATAAAATAATATTCCACAGAAAAATTTATATAAATAATGTAGGATTGATAATTTGCATTTAATTTGTTTATTTTATATAATTTTAAAAAAAATTAACTAATGTTTTACTTCACACAAGATCATTGCATAAGAAAACTTTTTTTTTTCTTTTTGGTACACTTACATGTCAACTCTTACATAATCACACAATAAAATACTATTCAAATTAGCTTCAAATTTGCGTCAAATTTTTGTATGAACGCACTATTTTGTGAGAGATTTCTTTTTATTTTAATAAATGTTTTTGTGTGGACAAATTGAGAATTCGATCAAATGGTAATTTGAAAGATGTGACAAGGCTCCATACAAAAATCGTATCAAATGTATGAACGAAAGTTTGAAATGAATGTAAAACTTAACTTTTCTGTTTGATACAACGGGAAAAAAAACCAAAGTTAACTTTTCTGTTTTTAACCGAAACCGAAACTACGCCGAAATTCGGTCGGTCTCTAAGCGACACAATACGCGAGAAATAATTTGAAAATTCTATTATACCTAAAGAGTGAATAATTAAATGTTTTAAAAGGGGCATTATTGGTGTTTAGCAGCCGTTGGGGATGAAAGATTCATGGACACTTATTTTGATGCTTTTCTTCTTTAGCAGCAGTTGGGGATGAAAGATTCATGGACACTTATTTTGATGCTCTTCTTCTTTAGCAGCAGTTGGGGATGAAAGATTCATGGACACTTATTTTGATGCTCTTCTTCTTTAGCAGCAGTTGGGGATGAAAGATTCATGGACACTTATTTTGATGCTTTTCTTCTTTAGCAGCAGTTGGGGATGAAAGATTCATGGACACTTATTTTGATGCTCTTCTTCTTTAGCAGCAGTTGGGGATGAAAGATTCATGGACACTTATTTTGATGCTCATCTTCTTTAGCAGCCGTTGGGGATGAAAGATTCATGGACACTTATTTTGATGCTTTTCTTCTTTAGCAGCAGTTGGGGATGAAAGATTCATGGACACTTATTTTGATGCTCTTCTTCTTTAGCAGCCGTTGGGGATGAAAGTTTCATGGACACTTATTTTGATGCTCTTCTTCTCAAAGTACAACGGTTGATCACATAGGTTTATGTTTCTATCTCATGGGTGCCTACGCTTATGGCATGTTTACAAGTGTTATGTCATGTGTACATTTTTATGTTAATGCTAAATGTTTTAGTTTCATGCTTATGTGTTTTTGTCATGTGTTCATGTGTTAATTTCATGTGCATATGTGTTAATGTCATTTTAAATGTGTATATGCCATTTGTACATATTGTGTATATGTAATGAGTTTCAGTTTTTATCTCGGGTGCATATTTTTAAGATGTGTCTATATGTTTATGTCCTGGATACATATCTTTATGGGCTTAATACATGTATTTTTATACTGGTCATGTCATGTGTATATGTGATTATGCATTGTGAACATGCGTATCTGTCCTTCGTGAAATGGGTTAGTGGCATATGTAAAAAAAGTAGTTCTTGGTGCATGAGTTTATTTGATGCGTACATGCTGCGTACGTGTTCATGTCATATGTCAATGTATTCATGTCCTTTGTGCATGAGTTTATATGCTGTATATATGTGTTTATGTCCTGTGCACATGATTCTATGTCCTGTGCACACCGGTTTATGTCCGGCGTACATGTTTCATGTCATGTGTACATGTGTGTAAAATTAACATTCAAATAAGTTTGTATTATAATTCATTATTATCCTTATTCTTGCATTGTAAATCGTATAAGCTCCTTCGCCATTTAATGCTCCCCCAACACTAAAAAGCACTTTTTACGGGAACAATTTAAAAGCAGCACGTGATCTACAAGAGGTCATTCCGGCGCCTACAGCTGATGAAAATGGAAACTATTAGTTTAAAAAAATATTTATATCATTCTAAAAACAAACAAGAGTGAGACATGACGTACCCCGATGGCGTTGCTGACGTAAACCAAACTAATGACCCGGAAGTTAAACCCCACGGCAACACGCAGGTAAATTCTGACGAATTGAGGAACACGTGAATTTCTTCATCTTTGGTCCTGACTATCAGGGGCAGACCTCACCCTGATAAGTTCATCTCAAATAACTGATGAAGTGGTCGCAATGCATCTTCCAAACGTATAATATATATATTTATGTATATATATATATATATTTACATATATATATGTACATGAATAAATCTTCTTCTTTTTCCTTCATATATTAAAGGCCCACAATCAATGTATTGATCTTACTGTCTCCTATGTGTGTAAAGTGATTTGAAATGTTTCTGGGCCTGGTATTGATCTGATCCAAATTCCAAAAATTACATGGAGAAAACAAAAAGTCAGTCCAATGGTCTTGACCTAAATAGGAACAGCAAGTTGACCGATCAGTAACCAGAAATGTACATTTGTATCAAAATGAAACCCTTAAAATTCTAAAGTTCTCAAGTGACCCTTGCCATAGTGTCAGCTGACCTTTGATCGGTCTTCAACATCAGGCTGACAACCGCTGATCTAGTTCTAAATGGAGGGACAAAAACATTGAGATCGGCTATACTGACTAAATACCTAGGATCATAGGCACCCGCAGGTAGGGGCAAGGGGGGCACTTGCCCCCCCCCCCTTGGATTGATTGGATAAAAAAAATTTAGACAAAAATAGACAAACAATTTATTAAAGTAAAGAGCAAATAAAGAGAAAGTAACTAGGCTGATGTCCTGTCCGTTCGTTCACCATACAAATACGCTACAGTAAATTAAAATTATATTAAAACATTACTAAAAAATTTTTGCCCCCCCCTCCCCTGGAAAGTTAATGATTTTTTTTGCTTCCCCCCCCCCTACAAAGTTTCTGCGGGCGCCCATGCCTAGGATCTGACTAAACCTAGAATCTGGCTAAATCTAGAATCTGGCTAAACCTGTGCAGGGTCTAGATTCCAAAAGATTATATCATAAACTCAATAGTTTTTTAACATTCTAAGTCGGGGGTGCCCAACACAAAATGTCCTAACGGGGGTGTTTGAATGTCCTAACGGGGGTGTTTGAATGTCCTAACGAGGGTGTTTGAATGTCCTAACGGGGGTGTTTGAATGTCCTAACGGGGGTGTTTGAATGTCCTAACGGGGGTGTTTGAATGTCCTAACGGGGGTGTTTGAATGTCCTAACGGGTGTGTTTGCATGTCCTAACGGGGGTGTTCGAATGTCCTAACGGGTGTGTTTGAATGT